TCATATTTTCTCAGCTCTGTCTCAGATTTCTCACACACAGCTCATTGTCAAGTCTATCAGATATAATTTATATTTTCTCAGCTCTGTCTCAGATTTCTCACACACAGCTCATAATTGTCAAGTCTATCAGATATAATTCATATTTTCTCAGATCTGTCTCACTGTCAAGTCTATCAGATATAATTCATATTTTTTCATCTTTGTCTCACATATTTCTCACACACAGCTCATACTTGTCAAGTCTATCAGATATAATTCATATTTTCTCAGCTCTGTCTCAGATTTCTCACCCGTCATCTGTCGCGAAGCTCCGTGCAGAAACGCGCAGTGTTTTTCTCCTGAAGTCTCGCCTCACAAGAGCGTTAAACGCGTTTAATATTCGCGGCATTATGATTTGCGAGAGCTAATGTAGTTTCTTGAGGGTCGTCTCGAGTTCGGATCGAAGTTTCCAAGCAAACACAGAAACACGCACGAGCAGGGCCCCCCTCAAACACACGGAGAGTCTATGAGGGAATTACGTTTCATTATCATCAACAATTTAACACAGTCTACATGAGAAAACACTGAACACAGACTCAAACAGAATGATTCAGTGCGCATAAACAAAACATGACATTTCAATACTTTTTTTCCTACGCACTCAGCATCTGTTATATCTGCAGTGTTGACCTGCAATATATCTTTCATAGACACTCCGAGTGAATTAACAATCTGCAGCATAAACAAAGATTGCAGCAACCCTGTCTCTGTCTGTCTGTCTGTCTGTCTGTCTGTCTGTGTGTGTGTGTGTGTGTGTGTGTGTGTGTGTGTGTCATCTAGAGGAATGTTTGTGGAAGGTAAAATGTGTCAAGGCAGCAGATCACGTGATTAAAGTCTCAAACACACAGCAGTGATAATCAGCTCAGACACGATCAATGATCAATAACTCGTCTAGAATCCCAGTCTGTGTAAAACATCTGCACCAGCAGCTTTTCCATTTAACAAGGAACGCTCTCTGATTTTTGCCTGAAGTTTTGGCAAGGTTTCCTCAAAGTTATGAACATTAATTCTTCCAGTAAAGTTTGTTCATGTTTGCAAAGTTTGTCTGAAACATCTAAGCTCGTCTAACATTTTTAAATGTTACCGTTTTGTTTCAGAATGTTCTGATTTATTGTTACTTTTACTTTTTTTACTGATACTTTTGAACGTGCAGAGAACATTCAAATGTAACATTCCCATAATGTTTGCAAACTGATGAAAATGGAATGTTTCCTTAGCATTCACATAACCAAGAAATAAAGTGGGCGTTTTGAACGTTCAGAGAACATTCAAAAATAAAATTTTCATAACTTAACTGAAGCATTAGAAAAATGAAGGGTTTCTCAACATTATAAACAAATGTTCTTTCAGTAACATTAACAGAATTAGCTGGTCTTTAAAAATGTTCTCAAAGAGTTGCACAAAATGTTATTTGCACATTGAACTGGAATATTTTAGTGCAGGGTGTCCAAACTCGATCCTGTCGAGTTTAGCTCCAGTGTCTCAACACACCTGTCTGGAAGATTCTAGTACAGTAAGATCTTGATCAGCTGCTTCTGGTGTGTTTTATTACAGCTGGAGCTAAAGCACCCCTGGTTTTTTTTTTTTTTTATGTTACTATTTGTTTCCAAACGTTCAGAGAATATTCAGCTTCTCATAATTTCATAATAAAGAACTCAAAATTATAAAATGGAATGTTCACTTAACATTGGCATAGCCAATAAAAAAAAAACATTTTCAAAATGTTTGAAAAACTAGAATATTAAGAAATAACGTTTTCATAACCAAAACGTTCTCAGAACACATTTTGCGCACGCCTAGATAACGGCTTTGTGTTTGTTGCTAGAATAGAATTACTGGTACAATATGTTGCTTTAAAATATAGACTTCAAACACAAACGTCTTTATTTCTCTAGTGTTTGTCTGCTGAATGTGTCGTGAGACATCAGACGCGTTATTATCGAGCATCACTCTGATGATACTGGTATTCTAAGAAACGAGATCAGCTGAAAGATAAACATTAACCAGTAACATTGTGAACTAGTTTAGGTTACAGGGGGCCGTTCTCTCTCTCACACACACACACACACACACACACTCACACGCTCTCACACGCTCTCACACACACACACTCACACACACACCCCTCCAGCGGTGCTTTATAAGCGCTCTTCTCTTGAGGATCTCTCTCTAGTCTCACTCAGCTCTCCTGAAGATCTCCATCTGTTTCTGAATCTCCTGCTAAACATGGCACCAGTCGGATCAAAGAGGGTGAGTTTCTGATTTAGACACTTTTAGCGATTCTTCAGTCCAGTTTTTAGGTTTTTAAGCGCGTTGTTTTTACATTAAGAGCGCGAACGCGCCGCGACGCATGAGATCCTGCTGCAGGATTATATTTATTCCAGCTATTAATATATCAGCTGTCTCACACACATGAACAGAACACTCAACTTGTGTTAAAGTGTGTGTTAATGCGATTATAGATGGAATAAAACGCGCTTGGAGAGCGCACTCGCACCCTGATCCGCGGTTGCGCACGGGTCTCTGCGGTGAATGTGTGTGTGTTTTGGCCTGATATCCCGCAGTGCTGAGTGTGTGTGTGTGTGTGTGTGTGTGTGTGTGTGGTGTGTCCAGGGTGTTCTGGAGCGCCTGGACGCGGGTGAGGTGGTGATTGGAGACGGAGGCTTCGTGTTCGCGCTGGAGAAGCGAGGATATGTGAAGGCCGGACCCTGGACTCCAGAGGCCGCTGCTGAGCACCCAGAGGCCGGTGAGACGCGCCGTAAATAAACGGGCCCCAGATAACAGTCTAGAAAAGCTCTTTCAAACTTATGAAAAAAATCTCTTCCAGTAACGTTCAAAGTTCATCAGGGCCCATATTCACAAAACATCTTCAGGCTAAAACTAGCTCATAACTCACCGATTTAGGAGAACATCTTAAAAAATATCGGGCGTGTCAGTCCTAAATTAAGGACTCCTACATTTTTGCTCTAAGAGTGTTTCACAAAGTGTTTCAGCGCTAAAACTAGCTCCTAAATCTGTGAAAGGTTAGGTAGGAGCAGTGAAGAGGAGTCCCTCAACTATCCTAAAATAGCTTCTGCCTCGAAACAAACATTTTAGAAACATTTGACAATAATGAGCTTTTAAAAAGATATCGCCTTCGGTTTTAAAGGTTATCCCAACTACACATTTCCTTTGATTATATCCTTGTTTTTATTAACCAGTTAGATTTGAGAAGCATACATGCAAGAGGCTGACAATAAGCTGAACGTATACTTGTTTTAATTAGTGACACTTAGCCTGCATTTTAAAATCTTTATTTGAATGTGGCAACATTTTTATTTGATTGTGGCAACATAATACTGCGCTCTACAGTATTTCTATGAATACATCTCTGACAGAGACTGTGTGCATAGTTAATGAGCATGCTGACATCATCATAGCAACGAGCTCAGCCCCGCCCCTTACTCTGAGCTCTTCTCTCTACTCCTTAGTACAAGTTAGTCTCAGCAGCTCTGTGAATAGCTTTTAAGAGAAAACTCTTAGCTAAAAACTTGTACTGCTCTTTAGGAGAACTCTTAGTGGGGATTTTGGATTTCTTTGGATGTTGTATAAATCAGTGTAAATGAAATATGAACAAACCCTCAGAATATAGAGAGGAATAAAACTGTAAAGTTTGGTGTGTGTAAGAGAAAAAAACTCTTTAAAGATATGGATTGGAATTAATATAAATAAAATAAGCCACTTGAATGTGTGTTTTGGATGCTGTCAGTCCACTAGTCTGAAAGACAACATGTTATGGAAGCAAAATAGATTTAAAAACTGACCAGTGCATGAAAGAGCAATGATGTCTTGCATTAACTTTAACTTTATTTTTCTATATGTGACCCTGCAGCACAAAAGCAGTCTTAAGTCGCTGGGGTATATTTGTAGCAATAGCCAACAATACATTGTATGGGTCAAAATTATACATTTTTCTTTTATGCCAAGAATCATTAGGATATTAAGTAAATATCATGTTCCATGAAGATATTTTGTACATTTCGTACCGTAAATATATCAAAACTTCATTTTTGATTAGTAATATGCATTGCTAAGAACTTCATTTGGACAACTTTGAAGATGATTTTCTCAATATTTAGATTTTTTTGCACCCTCAGATTCCAGATTTTCAAATATTGTCCGATCCTAACAAACCATACATCAATGGAAAGCTCATTTATTCAGATTTCAGCTGATGTATAAACCTCAATTTCACAAAATTGACCCTTATGACTGGTTTTGTGCTCTAGGGTCACATATTCTATTGCTGGTTTGTACCTGAACGTTTTAAAACGTTGGTTCTTGTCTCACGGAGTGTTTCTTCGGCTCTCTAGCTGTATTTGGAGCAGGCTGCTTTGTGAGAAGTCGCTGTGTTTGAGCGGCGCATGTGTTTCTCTCTCATCAGTGCGACAGCTGCACAGGGAATTCCTGCGGGCCGGGTCAAATGTCATGCAGACGTTCACTTTCTACGCCAGCGACGACAAACTGGAGAACAGAGGGAACACGCTGACTTTCACCGTGAGTCGCTCGCATTCACACGCATCGCTCACAGAGCCAGTCATCATGATCACATCACACAGCTCTGATCTCAGATGGGCACTCAAAGATTAATCTCAGAGACTGACAGAGATGTTTGCTGACCGTGCGCAGGGCCAGCAGATCAACGAGGCCGCCTGCGATCTGGCCAGAGAAGTAGCCAGCGAGGGCGACGCTCTGGTGGCCGGCGGAGTCTCGCAGACGCCCTCCTACCTCAGCTGCAAGAGCGAAGACGAGGTCAAGAAGATCTTCAAGAAGCAGCTGGACGTCTTCATCAAGAAGAACGTGGACTTCCTGATTGCCGAGGTGAGAACGTGCAAACAGAAACCTCACCTGAGATCTCAACAAGAACTCAGAGAAGCAAACAGGTAAAGAGGGAAAAGGTGAGAAGATTGCGTGGCTCGAGGGCATGCTCCACACGGGATTTCCTTTAAAGATATTTGCTTTACATGCTCATCTGTAGTTACTTTAAGCTATTTTTTTATTATATTTTTATTACCTTATATCCAAAACAAATTTTTCACACACACAAAAAACATTTTGTTGCAAGATTTGACAAAAATCCAGATTGAATATATTTGGTCAGAATCCCATGTTATAAAAGATGAAGTGCTATGCTGCAGGCTATTAAAGACAATATCGGCTGATTAGACGGAAATGCTGAGCTAAAATGCTAAATGTCTGTCCTCTCTCTCTCTTCAGCGTTCACACATCTCTGACCTCAAACACATCAAATATTACTCTTTTTAGACATAGTTTAGTAAAGAGTAAAGAAAATACTATACAGAACTTACTGAAAAAACCAGGGCCCAGATGCATAAACTTAGCCACGTTAAGATTGTGTGTTAAGAACTAGTTTGATCAACTAGCAGTTACCCAGATCTTACTCTTCCGATACAAACAAGACCAATCTACCTTTTCATAACTGAATTAAAAAAGCTATGACCAGTCTTGAAGAAAATAAATGAGATGACTAACTTATTAAGACTAGTCTAAACAGTTTATGCACCCGGCCCCAGAGTTCTTTATTACTCTTGTAAGACCCCCCCCCACCTCATAAAAACACTTCTCACTGGATCTAAGCAAATCTCACTGGTGACCTATTTTGATCTGAAAAAAGTGAGTTGTCACTGAAAGCTGAGGAGTTTGCTTCTGTGCAGAACTCCAACAGTTCTCATCTTGTGCTCACTGAGCTCTGGACTGTAGTTTGGTTATTGATTGATTGATTGATTGATTGATCTGCAGTACTTCGAGCATGTGGAGGAGGCTGAATGGGCCATCCAGGTTCTGAAGGCAACAGGAAAGCCTGTAGCAGCCACTCTGTGTATTGGACCTGAAGGAGACATGCATGGAGTGACACCTGGAGAGTGTGCGGTCAGACTGGTCAAAGCAGGTGTGTCTCACACACACACACACACACACACACACACACACACACACAAGATTATGTGTGTGGATTTCATGCACAATGACTGTTCATCTACTAGTCAAACATCTAGTTAGTCTTTGGATGTTTTTGATGGTATTTTTCATGAAATTGTCAGTTTATTTTGAGAATTTTAAGTATGAAAGTTGTAAGTGATTTGAATGAATTGCTATGTTTCTGTGCACCATTTTCTAATATTTCTATATATATATATATATATATATATATATATTAAAATGTGTTTTAAATTTTATCATTATTTATATTAAAATTATTTATACATATCTTTATGCATTTAGCAAATGAAATCCAATTATACACACACACACACACACACACACACACACACACACACAAGATTATGTGTGTGGATTTCATGCACACTGACTGTTAATCTACTAGTCAAACATCTAGTTAGTCCTTATTTTTTTTTGGCTGCTGTTGAATATAATGCAACTTTTATACAATCTTGTCAACAGTTTGCAGTAATTTAATGCTTTCAATATCCAACATTTCACACTCAGTTTTTATGGTTGTATGCACTTTTTTCTGTGTGAACACTATATACACTACGAAATGACAAACTGTGCATGATTTGAAACACCTTTCGTGTTTTCAGTTAAATAAGTGCATCATCCTGCTCACACTGTGTACACTAGTAGTGCATAAGTGTGTGCTTTGAGACGCACCTCCAGACTTTGCAGCATCACATGCGCTCAGCGGCGGCAGATAGAGTCCTGCTGGATCTCATGATGCTCTGATGTTCTGTGTTTGTGCTCCAGGCGCTGATATCGTGGGTGTGAACTGTCACTTTGACCCCATGACCTGTGTGAAGACCGTGTCCATGATGAAGTCCGGCGTGGAGAAAGCTGGTCTGAAAGCACATTATATGACGCAGCCGCTGGCGTATCACACTCCAGACTGCAGCTGCCAGGGATTCATCGACCTGCCAGAGTTCCCCTTCGGTACACACACACACACACAGACACACACACACACACACACACACACACACACACACACACACACTTTGCACCCTCAGATTCCAGATTTACAAATAGTTGTATCTCAGCCAAATATTGTCCTATCATAACAAACCATACATCAATGGAAAGATTATTTATTCAGTGTTCATATGATTGATGCTTATGACTGGTTTTGTGCTCCAGGGTCACATATATATATTTTTTTAAATAATGAAAATATAAAACATTTAGCTAGATTTCCGATGTTAATAACTGTGGTTATGCCTCCTCACAGTCCACTGACTCACAGCTATTATGAGTGGGTCTTATGATCAGTAACCAGCGCGTGTATTTGTGATTTAATCCTGATGAAATCTGCACGTGTGTGAACGAGAAGCTGATGTATGTGGTGTTCTCCAGCTCTGGAGCCGCGGATCCTCACGCGCTGGGAGATGCAGCATTACGCCAGAGAGGCCTATAAGGCGGGAATCCGTTACATCGGCGGCTGCTGCGGGTTCGCGCCGTACCACATCCGTGCCGTGGCCGAGGAGCTGGCAACCGAGAGAGGAATCCTGCCCGAAGCCTCTCAGAAACACGGCGTGTGGGGCAGCGGCCTGGAGATGCACACCAAACCCTGGGTCCGAGCCCGGTGAGTGCCATCCGCTCAATAAAATCTAGAATATCGTACTTGATACTTCTAGAATCACAAAATGAAACATGGTTAATTAATTTAATATATCATCATTCTGAATTTTAATACAAAAAATGTTTGAAAACAAGCAGCTATGTCATAATTATAGCAGAAATATCATAAACACCTTCCTTTAAATATTGTACTGGAAAATGAGGGGAACAAAACTCTGTCTCCTCACTCTGACAGTGTCGGTGTAATGCATTACTAAGTCATTAATTACTGTAATTTAATTACAATTCTCTTGAAAAAATAAAGTAAGGGATTACTCTTAATTTTTCTGTAATTTAATTACAGTTACTTCTGATGCAATTTAAAAAAATGCATTAAATACTGCGTAGACTATAGAATAATTCTATTTACAACAACAGTGGATTCAACATCAAAATGTAGCATCTAATATTAAAATGTATGCGTTTAATGTAACCTTCTTCCTGTAAATATTTTGGACAGTTCTAGAATACTTTATGCAATTTTATATTATTTATTTGAAAGAATTAAAAGAGCATTTCGTGTTGTTCAACTAGTCGAGGTTGCATGACAAGTTAAACAATACGAGGATAGACATGACACATTCAAATATAAAATTACTTAAATTTAGAAAGTAATTAGTAATAAGTAATGTAAGAGAGAGTAATTAGTGCAGTAATCGAATTACACTGTTGAAGGTATTTCTTTTTGTAGTAACTTACCCAACACTGCACTCTGAGCACTAGTACTAGTGATGAATGACTGTGGATTGATGTGTGGTTTAGGGCCCGTCGTGATTACTGGGAGCGGCTGAAGCCGGCGTCCGGTCGCCCGCTGTGTCCCTCCATGTCCACTCCTGACGGCTGGGGGGTCACCAGAGGTCACGCCGAGCTCATGCAGCAGAAGGAGGCCACGACCGCGGAGCAGCTGCGCCCGCTCTTCCAGAAATCTGACGCCAAACACTGAGGATCTGCTGCAGGAGACACGAGAGAGAGATACGCTTCTGTCTACCTCCTTCGTTTATAAACGCTGATATCATGAATAGCATAGTTTACTTCAGCAGGACCAGAAGATCTTTAGAAACCAAATCCAAGTTTAATCTCCCTTAAAGTGTCATTGTGCATTTAGAGGCGACCGATGACATTCTGTGTTCAACTGTCGCTGCTCTTTCTGAGCCGGAGCTTCATTCCAGATGTTCAGAACACTCCAGTCTGTCTCCTGATGCTCAATAAAAACTCGTCATGATCTCAATCGCTCTCTTTGTCCTGGAGTTATTTCATACATGAATGGGGTTTCAAACACTGAACATACGGTTATGAGAATCAGAGCTAGAAAGAGGTTTATTGATAAGTATGTTTGCACACACAAGGACAGAAGAAGCTTTCAGTGCACAAAAACAGCAGAAGTATACAGTAAATATAAAGTGAATAAGCTATCGGTGTACACACACACACGCACACACACACTCACACACACACACACACACACACACACACACACAACACACACACTCACTCTCTCAGAGACACACTCTCTCACACACACACAAACACTCACTCTCTCAGAGACACACTCTCTCACACACACACACACTCACTCACACACACTCTCTCACTCACACACACACACTCTCTCACACACACACACACACACACACACACACACACACACACACTCTCACACA